GGGGGGGGGGGCTAATATGGATTTGTTCATTATTGAAAAGTTTCAATTAATTTGTCGTTCATTTTTTCAACAGTTCTTGGTCGTTCGATTGTTGTTCATGCGAAAGACAGCGGAGGACATCGAGTGGGCTGTGCCAATATGAAGCTTATCAGCAAAAGTTTTGTGAGGAAAGAATTAATATTCAAGAAAACAACACCAGCACAGTAAGATTTTTATGACTTATGCTAATGAATAAATTCCATTTCACTGACAAAAATAGTGAAATCCATACCACAGAATAGGAAGTTATACTAGAAGCGTAACTCTAGTTGTTTCCCTTATTGTTTGACGTCCACGAAAATTTTTAACTCGCTCACGTCAGGCCACGCCATCCTGGCTAGTACAGCCGGAAGTTTTTATCAGGATTTGGTAGGTACAAAGTGCCGGTTGTACTAGCCAGGATGGCGTGATTGATGACGAATCGCTTGTAAAAACGCGGACAAATATTTGCTCGAGTTACGCTTCTGGTATAACTTCTTATTCTGTGTCCATACTATGGAAACGAAAGGAGAATTTCTACGTTTTCAAACGAAGACCCTTTGTCTGAAGTTACTAGCCTCTCAGATTTATATATTTGGCTATTCGTCTATCTACCTATTTTTCTATTTATGTATTTATTTATCTATTTATTTAGTGAACTCAGTCAATTATTGGCAACAGCACTTAAGATTAACCATTGGCGTGTGAACCACAATACCGCGGCAATTACTGACTACAAGATGAAATGTCAGAAAACAAGCTTCCTTCTTATTGGTAAGTAGCCTGGATATAGCAGTGCTAATGCAAGTATATAGGTAAGAAAAGTTACAGAAAATTATTGGTTCCTCAATTAAGACGTAAGATAAAATCAATAATTTCGTAACTACTCCTACCGTGACCTTGATTCGATGACAGGATGTGTATTTCTGTGGCTGCACCATGAAATATTACAGATTTTTCAATTATTTATAAAATTTTTCCATTGTTGTTTATAGATAGCACAAGTTCTAATCTGGGCAATGATTTCGAAGAGTTAAAGAAAGATTGGCCGGATAATTTGGAAAAGTTTAAACCCGTGTCTGAAGACGAATGTAGTCACGGTATGTATGTAAGACGAATGTAGAGCACAGTCACGATATGTACTGCGCATGAGCTTTGATATAAAAGCATGGTTGGTTCTCCGTACCTGGGTTTCACCATAAACACTATGGTGCAGTAGATGGTGCTCGACAGACAGTAACAGGCAGTTATCAGCATAAGTACACTCTAAGAACACTCTGATTAAAATTCCTGATTACGAATTTCCTGGTTGGCCTAGAAATAACCCTATTTGGGGTAACTTAATATTCCTGGTTACATTTCCTGGTTATCTATTGCTTTGTTAATTTAACCGAATGAGTTATCACCAGGTTAATTTAACCTGCGACAGGTTGCATAAAAAGTAGTTAAAGTTAACTACAGTCATGATCAGTGGAAAAGTCGACCACTTAAAATCCTGTATTTCGGAGTTAACAACCAGCTCCAGGACTTCCTGGAAATTAACTAGATTGTGGTAGGTGGCTAAATAACCAGAGGCCCTGGTTAGAATCGCAATTTGCAGCATCGAGAGGGTCAGAATATCCAGTTAGCGACATTTTCAATGTTTGCCAAAATCTTCAGCAATCAGCCTTACCCCGTACCTTTCAATTTGCATTAATTCTCACCTAAATTTAATTAAATACACTATAATATAACATTCTGTGTATTTTTTTAACACAGGTTTTAATCTACAAGCAACAAGCCTTGTATTAGCCGTCGGACTTCTACTGACGCGTCTGATGGTTTAGATAATAAAGGAAGAATCGATAAGTACATTTACACTTTGCAACTTGTCGGGCCGATTACAGATGTTAAAATAAACATTGCAAGAAATAATTAGTTTCTCTTATTTGGAACTTGTTGTTGAATGTTGAAAATTACATGCAAACTTTCTTACACCTTTTTCAAATCTTGCTTAATAGTTCTTGAAATGTTAAAATTGAGCGAGCTGTCCGCCATCTTGAATTGTCGTCTGAATATGCATATTACGTCACAACCTGGCTCACGAACATATATGTGTTGACCAGATAGCCAATGGTCATTATTAGCCCAAAATTATACTGCGGTCACTATTTCAAATAACATATTGACTGACGACGTTTTAAACTTCTATACTAATTAACTACATGCTTTGACGTCACCGTCCAATCCAATATGGCGGGCAGCTCTTTGATTTCGGTCAAAATATTTCAAGAACTAAGCCAGATATGAAAAATCGTAAAAGCCATAATCATTGTATATATAATTATTTCAAATAAGAATAGAATCGTCCCGACAAACACTGTACAATTAGCATAACTGTAAAAGACTTTGCACAAGACTTCAAAGGCACCTATATACCCATAGTAAAAAGCCAATCATTGAGTTTAAATTATTGGACTAGAGACGACCGGCCATCATCCTCAAACGGCATATGATATCAGTTACTTTAGAATAGGTAGTTTTATGATGTTGTTCATGTACAATCGACGGCATTTTGGTGGGGTTTTTGGCACATGCGTATGCCATAAACGTAATTTATAATTCACAAACTGTAATCATTACTAACTGTTAATATTTAGTTTTAGTCTTGATTAATATAGTAATTAGTCGAGTATTAAAGACCCAAACACGAAAATGATTGTTAAATATTTACATTAAATATTAAGCAACTTTATTGATTTGAAAATTTTGAATGGGAATTCACTAGTATACTGACTTTGAACATAGAGGTCTGCTGCACACCATCGAAGTTTTTGTCTGGCATATTGATGATAGTGCACGTGTGTGTAATAGTGTTACTGTATTTTTGAAAATCACACCATTTGCCTGGGCGTAAGAATGGCTCCGAGTATGAGAATGTGTCTATTTTACAGTTGCCCCCCTCCCCCGATCGGGCACTCATTAGCCCATGTACAAGGGCGCTTTCCATTTTAACACGCCAAACCGGTCAGAACGGTCAAATTGTTGAATGGAACACAAAACATTTGGGCTTCGGACCTATCTTACCGGAAAATTAGATAACATCAGAATGAGGTCCATTTTCGCTAGATATTTGAGAAACATAGACCAGATCTTTCCATTGATACAGAGAAAAGAATTCGGGTCTGACCGGTCAGGACAGTAAATGGAAAGCGCCCCAAGCGTGTTAAGTGGCTTGTATAATTAACAATTATTCGCCGAAGGCGAGGTGATTATCGGTGAATAAAAACCGAGACGAAGTCGAGGTTTTTATTCACGATAATCACCGAGCCTGAGGTGAATAATTGTTTTAGTATAATTTCATAGGTGATTATTTGGAAAAAATAAGAAAATACACATTTCTTCGTCATTTAATTGACAAAAAGGCTTCGGCCGCCATTTTGAAAATCGCTTAGGTGATTATCGCGTAATAATCACCTCAACGGCAACCAATCAGCGTGGAGAATTTTCAATAATCACCCATGTAATTATACTAAATGCGCATAATATTTCGCTTTAATGTGATAATGTATAAAAGTTCTTTGTTTCAAAGTTTAAGTGTGTGTAAGACTGTTGTTAGCTGCCGTTGAATGTGTTTTCACCCTAATTTGTTCCAAACACGAAACCGAGAATCAGTTGAAAAGAAATCATGAATTTTAACATTTTAACCTTACTTTTGTGGCTCATTGGCACAATTTTGGTTGGTTTTATATGTCTGGCCTTGTGTTTTATGCTATACTTGCATCATGTACACAAAAGCAGCGCTCATTTGCCAGGACCACCGCGTTCAAGCTTCATATTTGGCAACCTTCCTGACTTTTGGAAATACAAGAAAGCGACGGGCAAAACGATGATCGAATATGTGACGGAAAAACGACTGGAATATGGACCAATCTTTTTGATGACTTATTTTGACAAATGTGTAGTCTACCTTGGGGACCCAAACTATATTAAAGAAGTATTCATAAACAACCATACATATCTACGTAAGCCTCCCTTTCTTTACGATAAAATGGCGTTTGTATTTGGCGAGAGAGGTCTAGGATACGGAATTGTTACAAATACCGATGAGTTATCCTGGCATAAGAAACGGCACATTATGAATCCCGCTTTTCATCGGAAATGCTTGAAAGATTTCATGACGAATTTCAACAATGTTTCCGATAGATTTTTGATTCGCATGACCGAGGTAGCTGTGGGTGGTAAACCTGTCAGTATGATAGAAGAATTTGCAAAAGCTACACTCGAAACTATTTGTGAAGTTTCGTTTAATATTAATACGAACGCGATCAAGAATCCTGAATCCATATTTTCGTCCGCAATTCGCAACTATCTCAGGGGGGCAGAAGCAAACATTGAATATCCCATCAGCTCGATATTCTTGGGAATTTTTCAGTTTAAGCTATTCCAGAAAACTTCCCAAGGAGTTCAAATAAATGCGGCACGATTTCTTCGAAAATTTGCTTCAGATTGCATCGCCGCTCGAATGAAGGACATTGCTGAAAACAAGGATGTACCCAACGATTTGATGAATCTTTTGATTAACGATGGTAGTTTAACAAGAGAGGAGATCGTTGACGAATTCATAACCATCTTAATTGCTGGCCAGGACACAACAACAAGTTCACTGGCATTTACATTATATGAAATTCTCAGTAACCCCCATGTTGAAGCAAAGCTTTTGAATGAAATCAAAGAAGTTCTTGGTGAGCGAGAAGAAGTTAAATTTGATGATTTGGCAAAACTCAAATACATGGGCCAAGTATTGGAAGAGAATCTAAGGAAGCATCCCGTTTCTGTAGCACCTTTTAGAGTTTTGGAAGAAGAGATCACAGTGGCGGGTTATCGAATACCAAAAGGAAACTGGGTTGTTGGCAGTTCCCTGATGTTTGGTATGAACCCAGAAATCTGGAAAGATCCCGAAGTTTTTGACCCAGAAAGATTTGCAGATGCTGGAAATATCCCAAACCTGAGCATGATACATTTTCCATTTTCCGTTGGTCCTCGTAGTTGCATTGGACAAACATTTTCAAAGTTTGAGTCCAAAGTTATCCTTGCAAAGCTGTTTCAAAAGTTTCAGTTCAAGCTTCTTCCAGATCAAACTGATCGAATTGAGAGCAGGATGTCATTGGCACCTCGAGATGGTGTGATGTGTGAAGTTAGAAGACGCACTGGAAGTCCCAATGTAGAGTGAGGGGGGCCAATAGAGAACTTAAAAAGCGCAACTCTTGCTTAAGCTTATGAACAAAGAACAATACAAAAACGCTACGAACTTGAATCGGATTAGTGTGGACGTACATTATAAAGTAGGGTGCCTTACCGCAGATTGTGAATGGGTATAATTGACACACAATGCAGACTACTTGACTTTTTCTCTGTCTGAAGGCGCTTTTCCATCCATCGTAAGAGTCCTCCTGCAGGTTCTATCAACCAATCATAATGCTCGACAATTTATTTTAATTAGATGCAAGCACTCGCAGCGAGCTCGCGAATTGGTTTTTGCGATGAATGGAAAAGAGTCTGAAAGGGCTTGAATGATCAAGACTCTCTAGCGTTACAGAGTAGAATGGGGGTAATAAATAGAATTCATTAATGGCCGGCCATCACGACACAGTTCACGTTAAAATAATAAACATGGCTCACGTTAATTACAACTACGGTTCACGAATAATTAAGCATAACCAATGGTTCACGTTAAATTATCACAACCATTGAACCATGGTTCATGTTATTCATATTTCATAACCAATGGTTCACGTTATTCATAACCAATGGTTCACGTCATTCATAACCAATGGTTCACGTCATTCATAACCAATGGTTCACGTTATTCATAACCAATGGTTCACGTTATTCATAACCAATGGTTCACGTTAATCAAGGCCATGGTTCACGTTCTCGCGTCGACCGGCCCCAATTTGATATTTTACAATTCGGTTATTTCTAATGTAAGTATCTCGGCGAGTATACATAATACACCCCCTTTAAAATCGGAAAAACACCTTTGAAATCCTCACCACAAAATGACCTTTTCAACGAGGGTTTGAATACAGTCAAAACATTACACAAACCAAATGACATTTCAGGCGCTAATTAATATTTCTTTTCCCAAAATTGTTGGCGGGGGGGGGGGGGGGGGGAGTGAGGAAAACATTTTCGGACATACCAATTTTCACTAACTTTCTGTACAATTTTTCAGTAATATTTTCATAAATGTATCAAAATTTTTCCTAGGCAATTATCTAAAATCTTTTGCTGAATTACATATTTTTTGCTGAATTACATTTTTTTGCCCGACCAGCGTGTCGTTAAAACTGTCCGACAAAACTGCAATATCACCCCATTCAAGCGCTTTCGTTTGAATACGGCGGAGTAGAAATATTCATTTTGAATTTTTCAAAGTACGGGTTTTAGCTGTTCTATGTCTATTTTAAAGTATCAATGTTAAGTATTAACCATGACTGGGCCAATAAGGAGCACCCGTAACCGGATACAAGTGCAAATATTTTGACCTTCAGAATCGATTTCCGGTGATATAAACATCGTATTGTTTTGAGTCGGGGCAGAAATGAAAATACCGAAATAAAAGATGAAAATCTGAAGATACAAGTTTGAAAATAACACTCTAAATAATGTTTCGGATAGGGATTCGACTAAGACTATTACGAAGAAGATACGTCCCAAGGGGCCGAAGTTATGTACGGTGAAAGGTATGGCTAGTATATAATTTATTCAGAACATTGCTGTAAGTAATTTGATAATATACGATCTCGCTTGACTTTCAAAGGCCATAAATCGCTACAATGTTGACTAAAACTATGGTTAGGAATTAGGAGATTAGCCAATGGTTAACGTTACTTATAACCAATGGTTCACCGTTCACGTTTATAATCAAAGCCATGGTTCAAGTTGAGCATACCAATGGTTCACGTTAATCAAAACCTGAAATCCATGGTTCAAGTTGAGCATACCAATGGTTCACGTTAATCAAAACCTGAAATCCATGGTTCAAGTTGAGCATACCAATGGTTCACGTTAATCAAAGCCATGGTTCAAGTTGAGCATAACCAATGGTTCACATTAATCAAAACCATGGTTCACGTTGAGCATAACCAATGGTTCACGTTTTCAAGTTGAGCATAACCAATGGTTCACGTTGCCAGTTCACGTTGAGCATAACCAATGGTTCACGTTAATCAAAGCCATGGTTCACGTTGAGCATAACCAATGGTTCACGTTAATCAAAACCATGGTTCAAGTTGAGCATAACCAATGGTTTACATTAATCAAAGCCATGGTTCACGTTGAGCATAACCAATGGTTCACGTTAATCAAAACCATGGTTCACGTTGAGCATAACCAATGGTTCACGTTCCATGGTTCAAGTTGAGCATAACCAATGGTTCACGTTGCCACGGTTCACGTTGAGCATAACCAATGGTTCACATTAATCAAAACCTGAAAGCCATGGTTCACGTTGAGCATAACCAATGGTTCACGTTAATCAAAACCATGGTTCACGTTGAGCATAACCAATGGTTCACGTTAATCAAAACCATGGTTCAAGTTGAGCATAACCAATGGCTCACGTTAATCAAAGACGTGGTTCAGTCCCTTTATTGTAAAGTTAGAATTACACTGAAGCAATAAATAAAATCTGTGAAGCCAAAAAATATTAAATTGTCAGAAAAACAGAGCAAATCTAATAGAGTAGCCACTGCAGTTTGTTGAAGTAGAGAATGAGCAAAGTTTTAATTAAGTTCTTGCAACTTTGCAGGGCGTAAAAGGAAGTTGGATCTTCTATCTTTATCAGACATTCCAACCACTGGAGGTAAAATTTAGGGAGACTGTTCAGTGAATTGAAATCTAGTTCTTCTGGGGGAAAAATAATAAAAATTAAGTCTTCTGAAATGGCGTTTCCTGCATTTTGGAACTATGTTGTTATAAGTGATCCTATAAATTGCCATAAAGCAACTTCAAAAAAGGTCAAGACAGACTATTATGTTGCTAAAAACAGTATATTTATAATTTTTTATGATATTTCCTGAATATTCTGAAAAGCGGGAGAATTTGATAAAAATCGGGAGACCGGGAGATTGCATGAATTTTCGGGAGACTCCCGGTAAAATCGGGAGAGTTGGAATGTCTGCTTTATACATGACCCGCTCAGTGTGGTCGTCACCAACCTTGGTACGACTCATACAGTGGCGCCGTGGGACCCATGGTTTTTTTTGGGGGGGGGGGAAAGGGCAGTACTTTTCCGACAAACCGAAAATTTTTTCCGACAAATCAAAAAAATTTTCCGGACGACAACATTTTAAATCTCCCTCCCCGTCGACAACTTCACAATTTCCGACAACCTTGACAATTTTCCGACAATTTCCGACAACATTGGCAATTTTCCGACGTGTCTTAACAATAGGGGGGGGGGGCCCATGGCCCCCCCTGGCCCTCCCGGCCACGGCGCCACTGGACTCGTAGTACGAGGTCTCTGGTACGAGGTGGTACGAGGTGGTACGAGGTTAAAAGGTTTTGTGGCCGGCCAATCTCTTCTCCGCAGAGCCTCCTTACATGAATCTCATTTTACACGTTTAATTGATTGAAATCATGAATTTTAGCGTTTTAGCCTCAATATTTTTGTGGTTTATTGGCACAATTTTGATTGCTTTTGGTTGTTTATTCCTGTGTTTTATGCTATACTTGCATTATGTGCACAAACGGAACGCCCATTTGCCAGGACCACCGCGTTCAAGCTTCATATTTGGCAACCTTCCTGACTTCTGGAAATACGAGAAAGCGACTGGAAAAACTTTGACCGAATATTTGACGGAAAAACGACTGGAATATGGACCCATCTTTTTGATTACTTTTCTCCACAGATGTACAGTATACCTTGGCCACCCAGACTATGTCAGGGAAGTATTTATAAACAACCATAAATACCTAATTCGGCCCTCTTTCGAATATAGTAAATTTGGGTTCATATTTGGGGAGAGGGTTTTGGGATATGGCATAGCCACGAATGCTGATGAGTTATCCTGGCATAAGAAACGGCACATTATGAATCCAGCTTTTCATCGGAAATACTTGAAAGATTTCATGACAAATTTTAACAATGTTTCCGATAGACTTTTGAATCGGATGGGCGAGGTAGCTGATGGTGCTAAACCGGTCAGTATGGTTAATTAAGGAATTTGCAAAAGCCACACTCGACACCATCAGCAAAGTGGGATTTGATATGAATACCACCACAATCGAGGACCCTGATTCCCCATTTCCCTCCGCAATTCGCCACTACCTTGATGGGGTACTAGCAAACTTTCAAATTCCCATAAGCTCTCAATTGTTGGGGATTTTTCAATTTAAACTATTTCAAACAGATTCCCAGAGAGTTCAAATAAATGCGGCACGATTTCTTCAAAAATTTGCTTCAGATTGCATCACCACTCGAATGCAGGACATTGCTGAAAACAAGGATGTACCCAACGATTTGCTAAATCTTTTGATTAACGATGGTAGTTTAACAAAGGAGGAGATCGTTGACGAATTCTTAACAATATTTATTTCTGGCCAAGAAACAACAGCAAATGCGTTGGCATTTACATTATATGAAATTCTCAGAAACCCCCATGTTGAAGCAAAGCTTTTGAATGAAATCAAAGAAGTTCTCGGTGAGCGAGAAGAAGTTGAATTTGATGATTTGGCAAAACTAAAATACATGGGCCAAGTAATGGAAGAGAATCTAAGGAAACGTCCCATTGCCCCAGCACCTACCAGAGAAGTATTACAAGAGATCACCGTTGGAGGTTATCAAATACCAAAAGGAACCGGAGTTGCTAGCAGGTCCATGTTCTTTTCTAGGAACCCAGAAATCTGGAAAGATCCCGAAGTTTTTGACCCAGAAAGATTTGCAGATGCTGGAAACATCCCAAACTTGAGCATGATACATTTTCCATTGGTCCTCATAATTGCATTGGACAGACATTTTCAAAGTTTGAGTCCAAAGTTTTCCTTGCAAGGCTGTTTCAAAAGTTTCAGTTCAAGCTTCTCCCAAATCAAACTGATCAAATGGTGGGTTGGATGAATTTGATGCCTCGAGATGGTGTGATGTGCAAAGTTAATAGACGCACTGGCAGGTACGATGGGGAGTGAGATCATGGACAGAGATGGTGACTGTAATTGTCCCAAATAATTTCGAAAACTCTTTATCTGAATAATTATCACAACTTGAAATTTACAGTAGCCTGATATCCATGGAATACAAAATTTTGATTTTAAATTTAGATATTGGACATGACTATAAACTCAGTAACGATTGGGTACAAATTTCTCTCCTCCACAGATGTTTCTCTATCAGTTACGATCCTTTTATACCATACCTTAGATTCAGTATATTATAAAATTCATTACAATTTATAAAAACTCAGTTTGCCTTGTTTCAGTGTTTGGATACTAGGTTTTTGGGATGGCTATCAGATCTCAAGTTTCTAGTATCCCACTGGATAGTGCTGAAAATTTCAAGCCCTTCCTTTTAGTCTCTACCAAGGGCAGATTTTCATTTTTTTTAAAGGAGGGGTGGAAAAATTTCTAGTGGGTTGCAAGCAGCATAGCCCGCGTGCAGGCCCAAGGGAGCAGCTAGGGACCACTATCAAGTTCCCTTGAGCCTGCTCCCTTGGGCCTGCACACGGGCTACAAGCAGCACTGACTGAGCGAGCTTTTTACAGGGGTTAGGCGTTAGGGTTACACACTAAATAGGAGGAGTGAAGCGAAATTTTGGTGGGGTTGAACACTTTATAAGAGGGGTTAGAGAGATTCTATTGGGGGTTTAATGCCCCCCTAACCCCACAGTAAATCTGCCCATGGTCTCCACACTTCCCCTTAAACATACAATATATCAATATGAAACAATGTATAT